GCCAGTAAGCCTAGCTTCTCAGGAGGCTGAGATCTGAGGATCACAGTTCAAAGCCAACCTGGGCAGAAAAACCTGTGAGATGCTTATCTCCAAAAAAAGCTGGAAGTGGAATTGTGGCTCAAGTGGTAGAGTGCTTGCCTTGAGTACAAAAGCTCAGGGACAGTGCCCAGACCCAGAACAGGTGTGTGTGTGTGTGTGTGTGTGTGTGTGCATGCGCGTGCACACACACACACACACCCCAAACATAAAAACCTTGAGAGTCTATTTATTTCTTTCCTTTAAACATTCCTAAATATCTTACAGATATTTTCCCTTATAATTACTTTATTATTGTGAAAAATGGGAATCTTGAAATGGGCAAAGAATAAAATAAAAATCATCAGTTACCCCTCTACTCAGAAATAGTCACTGATAACCTTGGGTCACATTTACTCCACGTGCTCTCTCTAGCTTGGTACTGTTCCCTCCCCCTCCTCTTTTAGGTACCAGGGCTTGAACTCAGGGGCCCAGGCTCATTGGCATTCTTGCTCATAGTTGGTGCTCTACCATTTAAACCATACCTCTAGTCTGACTTTTCACTCGTTAACTGGAGATGGAGTCTTGAGGACTTTTCTTCCTGGACTGACTTTTAAGTGTCAGTTTGCTAGGCTCCTAGGTAGCTATGATAACGGATGTGCTGCTGCTGCTAGGCCTTAGCCTCCTAGTAGCTGTGATAACGGATGTGCTGCTAGTGTTTTTTATTTTGCTTTTTTTGTTTAAACATCTATTTGACCATTTTTCTCTGGTCAGTATGAACTCAGCATAAGTCTTGGATGGATGAATAATTTAATGCCAACCCATTATCTTAACCATTCCTTCACACTAAGAGGGGTTAGGTGTTTGTATTACTGCTTTTATAAGTAATGCTAACAGGAGAGCTGTCTTCCGGTGTGAGCTGGGTTGGTTCCTGAGGGGGGTCCCCTGCAGGGAGGATGGAGGGCCGTCACCAGTGCTGCACACATTGCCTTGCCACAGGCCCTTCCGGAAGACGGTGCTTCATTTCCATGGATCAGCGTGCGTGAGGGTACCTGTTTCTCAACACCCTAAGAGATTAGGCAAAAGGCGTGATCTTATTATAACATTTATTTTTATGGTGTATATTAGTTAAAGAGTAAGGTTTCATCATGCCATTTCCACACATGCATATTGCATACTCTCTTCAGACTTTTTTTTTTTTTTTGGGTCCGGTTGTGGGGCCTGAACTCTGGGCCTGGGCGCTGTCCCTCAGCTCTTCAGCTCAAGGCTAGTGCTCTACCACTTGAGACACAGCGCCACTTCTGGCTTTTTTCTTTTTGCTTATGTGGTGCTGAGGAATCGAACCCAGGGCCTCAAGCATACAAGGCAAGTGCTCTACCACTGAGCCACCTTCCCAGCCCCAGACTTTTTTTTTTTTTAAAGAATCAACACTTCAATAGTTTTTACAAGAAAATTCAAATGGCAAGTGATAAAAATGTTCTAAAATATGCCAATGTTTTCCCCAAATCTGTGATATAATGCTAATAATATTCTAATAAAACATGTTAAGAAGAAAAAAAAAAACCTCTAAAATTCATCTGGAAAGCTGTAACATTCCCCAGATCTGAAGAATGAACCACAGACTGTGACTGTTGCTCTGGTGTTGGATGTGTGGTAATGGGCGCACTCAGAACAGCAAGGGCTGAAAGTGCATAAAGGGATAGAATTAGAAAGTATGTGAAAAAGCAGCTGGGAGCTGGAAGCTCACACCTGTAATCCTATCTAGTCAGGAGGCCCAGATCTGAGGATTGCGGTTCAAAGCCAGCCTGGTAAGGAAAGCCCGTGAGACTCTTATGTCCACTTAGCCACCAGAAAACCAGAAGTGGTGCTGTGGCTCAAGTGGTAGAGTGCTTCCCTTAAGCTGAAGAGCTAAGGGACAGCGCCCAGACCTACCCAAAGTTCAAGCCCCAGGACTGACAAAAAAGAAAAAGTATATGACAAAGCAAAGTTCAGTAGGAGGAAAGCAGGTTGGCTTGCTAGTGAAATGCAGAGGAGCTCTCTATCCAGTGTGTCAAAACCATGGCTGTTATACATAGAGTCTGGGAAACATCTTCAGACTTTTTTTTTGTTGGTCATGGGGCTTGAACTCTGGGCCTGAGAGCTGTCCCTCAGCTCTTCAGCTCAAAGCTAGCACTCTATCACTTAAGCCACAGTGCCACTTCTGGTTTTCTGAGTGGTTTATTGGAGATAAGAGTCTTTTCTGCCTGGGCTGGCTTTGAACCTCTGACCCTCAGATCTCAGCCTCCTGAGTAGCTAGGATGACAGGTGTGAGCCATCGGCACCCAGCTTCTTCAGGCTTTCCTAATGATAAGAATCTACCTTTAGAAAGACTTTGTGCATAATCCAATTATGAAAACCAGTGGTTGGAGACATGTTGCTGGCTCTACACTGTGAGCGTAAATGAAGCACGTGGATGAGCTCTGGCCACTGCATGGATCATTTCTTTCTGGGGTTGGGTCCAGGCAATGTTGAGGTATATGGATGAAGTGGACTGTAGTCTCTCTTGCCACGGGCCTGTTTTGGGGGGGTGTATTGGGGTTCAGGCTCAGGCTTTGTGCTTGCTCGGCAGGTGCTGTTCTGCCTGAGCTGCTCCCCGAGCCCTTTTCTGACCTAGCTTCTTTTGGGATCGGGTCTAGCTTTCTTCCCAGGCTGGCCTGGGTGGTGATTTCCTGTTTGTGCCGGAGTCAGGTGCATGGCCGCCATGTCTACCTCCAGTCTTCTCTGGATCCTGTGAACTTTGCTGCATGGGCTAGGCTGGAACTAAATTTCTTCAGCCTTCTGTGTAGCTGGGATATCAGGCATGCACCTCATGCCCAGCTAGTGGTTGACATGGAGTCTGTGGACATCTTTGTCTAGCCTTGAACTAGTACCCTCCTGATCTCAGCCTTCTTAGTAGCTCAGATTACAAGTCTGAGCCACCAGTCCCTGGGTCGTAGAGTCTTAGTAGAGAAAATGTGTTCTCTCTAGTGTCACAAGCACGTTAACATTCGTATTCCCTCAGATAAAGGCAGAGGTTTATCAAATGCCAAGTCATTTGCATTTAAGGAAGAGAACAAAACCACAGTGACAATAAAGGGTAATACAAGGCAATGAAACACCAGAAAAGTTGTAAAGTTGCATTATACAATTGTATCATTATTTTACCTTATTTTCTGGGACAAGGTTTTACCACGTGATCCAAGCTGGTCTTGACTTTGTACCTCTGCTTCCTGGTTGTGGCACTACAGGTGTGCACCTTCATGTGTGGCTAATTTATGTTAATGGGAGTTGCAGGAGTTTTGGAACTGTCTTCAAGCAGCAGTGAGTGATTAGGATGGCAGGGTATGATTAACACGAGAAGACTAATAACTCTGATTGGTTTTAAAAAATCTGCTAAGTCTTCTTTCCTGCAACATACAGAAATAATAACCCACCCTGGTCTGGGGAGCTGAGGTAGGAGGGTCCTGGGTTCCGTGGCCTCCCAGCAGGCTGCACAGACCCGAGGGCAGCCAGTGGGCTGTGCGGTCAGTGCTGCACAGACTCGAGTGGCCCTAGCACTTTCCGGGGTGTCAGCTCCCCATTTGCTTTCCAGACACACACCGCTTTTCCCCACCTTACTCAGCATTGAAGGCTCATCCCGTTATAGGAAGCAGGGTTTTGTGCTGCGTTTCTGAGCACTGTAGGAGATGCTGAAGGCATACCCTCACACCACGATCATGCCGCGCACGTGGCGCTCGCATGATGGGCTGTGTGACTGGGGCCGCCAGGGTGGCTTGGTGCCGGTGCACGGCTGCAATTCTCTCTGCATACTGGGTGCCGGTGCATGGCTGCAGTTCTCTCTGCATGCTCGGTGCTGGTGCACGGCTGCAGCTCTCTCTGCATGCTCGGTGCCAGTGCATGGCTACAGCTCTCTCTGCATACTGGGTGCCGGTGCACGGCTGCAATTCTGTCTGCATGCTCGGTGCCGGTGCACGGCTGCAGTTCTCTCTGCATGCTTGGTGCTGGTGCATGGCTGCAGCTCTCTTTGCATGCTTGGTGCCGGTGCACAGCTGCAGCTCTCTCTGCATACTGGGTGCTGGTGCACGGCTGCAATTCTCTCTGCATGCTCGGTGCTGGTGCACGGCTGCAGTTCTCTCTGCATGCTCGGTGCTGGTGCACGGCTGCAGTTCTCTGCATACTGGGTGCTGGTGCACGGCTGCAGCTCTCTCTGCATGCTTGGTGCCGGTGCACGGCTGCAGCGCTCTCTGCATGCTCGGTGCCAGTGCACAGCTGCAGTTCTCTCTGCATGCTCGGTGCTGGTGCACGGCTGCAGTTCTCTCTGCATGCTCGGTGCTGGTGCATGGCTGCAGTTCTCTCTGAATGCTCGGTGCCAGTGCACAGCTGCAGTTCTCTCTGCATGCTCGGTGCTGGTGCACGGCTGCAGTTCTCTCTGCATGCTCGGTGCTGGTGCATGGCTGCAGTTCTCTCTGAATGCTCGGTGCCAGTGCACAGCTGCAGTTCTCTCTGCATGCTCGGTGCTGGTGCACGGCTGCAGCTCTCTCTGCATGCTCGGTGCTGGTGCACGGCTGCAGCTCTCTCTGCATGCTCGGTGCCGGTGCACGGCTGCAGCTCTCTCTGCATACTGGGTGCCGGTGCACGGCTGCAGTTCTCTCTGCATACTGGGTGCCGGTGCACGGCTGCAGTGCTCTCTGCATACTGGGTGCCGGTGCACAGCTGCAGCGCTCTCTGCATGCTCGGTGCCGGTGCACGGCTGCAGCGCTCTCTGCATGCTCGGTGCCGGTGCACGGCTGCAGCTCTCTCTGCATACTGGGTGCCGGTGCACGGCTGCAGTTCTCTCTGCATGCTCGGTGCTGGTGCACAGCTGCAGCGCTCTCTGCATACGCAGCTAGAACAGATACATAATATTCCGTCTAAGTTTCCCCTTAAATTTAAAGCAGTAACACATGCTGTCCTTCTTGTTCTTGCAGTGTCTTTACAAATGGAAGATTATTTATCCCACCTGTCAAGGTGATTATACCCAAGTTCAGCCTGTCAGATTGGAATAGTGTGCTGGCCACAGTGGGCGAGAAAGTCTTCCCTCTTGGAGGTGTTCGGAAGTAAGGAACCGGCCTGCCAGCGGGGGGCCTGGGTGGTGGTGGCTGGGTTTGGTTGGGTGACTGTACAAACTTCCTGTTGTGTGAAAAGCAGATGAAGTCACCACATACACCTGAATCCACACCAAAGTAAATACCACGTATAGACACGATAAGAAGTGAAATAATGTACAAAAATATTTATGGTGCCAAATTTCTGCAAATAATCTCTTCAGTGTGTGTACTCAAACATGTACTAAATATTGGTAATTGAATAATTTTCCAAGTATTATATTACGATATTCAAATTATGACCTTATGCTTACTTATAGTACTCTGTAATTTGATACACATAAAAATTTCTCCTATGGGGGAAAAACAACAAAACAAAAAAACCTTCCTGTTGGATCAGCAGACCTGCGCTAACTTGTCATGAACCTTGAGCACTGATGACACACCAACCGGACATGCTAGTGTCTAATTGTTCTTCATGAGCTCTTCGTGTTGTTGCTGGGGCTGCGCAGAGGAGCTTTAACACCTCTTACTACAGGAGGGCCTCTGTGACAGATGATGACACAACATAGTTTTCACCTTTGCTGTCAACCCCGATCCACTCAGCGGATGTGTGGCGTTCACAGGGGAGGCAGAGACCCCGATCCACTCAGCAGATGTAGATGTGTGGCGTTCACAGGGGAGGCAGAGACCCCGATCCACTCAGCGGATGTAGATGTGTGATGTTCACAGGGGAGGCAGAGACCCCGATCCACTCGGCGGATGTGTGATGTTCACAGGGGAGGCAGAGACGTACTTCTTTCTTAGTAGAAGAAATTCAGAATGTGAAAAAAAAGAATAAATTAAGCCCAAAGTCAGTGTAAGGAAGGGAAATGATAAAGGCCAGAGCAGAAACAAAGCACACAGAGACGAGAAAAACAGTAGAAAAGATAATAAAACAAAAAATAATTTTTTGGTAAAAAAAGGTAAAATAGATAGACTAGCCAAGAAGACAAGATATGACCCGAATACGTCAATATAAATGAGAGTGGAGAACAGTACAAGCATCTCCCCAGAAACTCAGGGGCTGGAAAGAGATGGTTGTTAGAAACCTGGGGGAAGAGATGGGACAGACCCAGAAAGTGGGGGAAATTCTGAGAGTCAGACAACCTACTCAGACGGACTCAGGAAGAAATAGAAAGTCTCAACAGACCAACAACAGACAAGCAGAGAGCCTGCTGTCAAAAACCTCCATAGGTAGAAAAGCTCAGGTCCAGGTGTGTGTTCACAAGCAAATTCTACCAAACATTCAAAGAATTAGTATCCATCACTTCTCACACCCATTCAAATTAAGGAGGAAGGGAAAGTTAAAACTTACTTTACAAGTCAGTATTAGCACCAAAGTCAGGTAAAGACATGGCACGAGAGCTGGGAAGGTGGCTCAGTGGTAGAGCGCTTGCCTTGCATGCATGAGGCCCTGGGTTTGATTCCTCAGCACCACATAAGCAGAAAAAAAAAGCCAGAAGCGGTGCTGTGGCTCAAGTGGTAGAGCGCTAGCCTTGAGCTGAAGAGCTGAGGGAGAGTGCCCAGGCCCAGAGTTCAGGCCCCATGACCGGACCCCCCCCCCCCCCCGCCCAAAAAAAAAAAAAAAGACATGGCACAAAAAGAAAATTACAGGCAATATTCCTGATTGAACACAGATGCAAAAATCCTCCACAAAATACTAGTAAAGGGCATTCAAGAGCACATTAGAAGAACCGTGTCCTGATATGCGAGATTTGTTCTTGAAGAGAGGATGGTTCAGAATATGCAAATCAATCATGTTGTCTGGCTAGCTACGCTGGAGGCAGAGGTTAAGAGGAATGTAGTTTGAGGCCACCCTGGGGGAGAAGTTTGTGAGATCCTATCTCAATCTGGGTATATGGTATATGTTCTGTCATTCCACTGACTCCAGAAGGCTTAGGATTGTCTCAAGGGGCCTGGCTAGAAAGTGACAACTTATCTGAGAAATAGTGGAGGAAGAGGGAGGGGAATGTGGCCCAAGTGGTAAAGAGTATCTGCCTCATAAACACGAGGCCCTGAATTCAAACCTCAGTACAGAGAAACCACAGTTCAGGCCGGGTGCCAGTGGCTCACGCCTGCAAGCCTAATTCCTCAGGAGGCTGAGATCTGAGAATCGAGGTTCAAAGCCAGCCCAGGCAGGAAAGTCCATAAGACTCTTAATGTCAATGAACCACCAAAAAGCCAGAAGGGAAGCTGTGGCTCAAGTGGTAGAGAGCCAGGCATGAGCAAAAAGGCTAAGGGACAGCACCCAGGCTCTGAGTTCAAGCCCTAGTACCAGTACAAGGAAAGCACAAAACAAAACAGCAGAATCAAGCACTTTGCCCTCTCTTGTATTTGTCAGAAATTTCTAAGTTTTTATATCATCATTGGGGACCAATAACTTTTCAACTTATTATCCAACATGTTTTCTGCCTCATTGTCTTATGCATATAAATAGATGATGGTGAGAACATAATGAATTTGAATTCTTTCTTAAATCAATTAATAGAGTAGCGAGTGAATGCTTGCCAAAAGATTATTGAGTAAAAATGTCTTTTGGTGCTTATAAAAAAGAGACATCATTGGCTAATAAGTACTGGTTTGTTTCCTCAGTATTGTGATACCCATACAAGCCAATTTGTATTCATTTTAGCCACTATTAGCTGAAATTAATTAAATCCCAACCAAGAACTTGCCATGTTCTTGAGAGTACTTGTACATGTTCTGAGAACTGGTACGTAATTAAAAAGACACTTTAATTAAAAGTCGAGGAGTGGAGAGCCGGTCTATTCTGGGAGAGCGGCACTCATGGGCTGTGAGAGCGTGCCGCGGTCCACATGCCATCACAACATGCATGCAGACAGCACGCACCCCGGGGCTCTGCTGCTGTCCACCGCGCGTCTCCCTTCTGTATTTGCAGATTGTATACGTTGACCGGACAGCTCTTGGGCAGCTCTCAGGATCTGCAAGACAATCAGTTTTACGTTGCTGTGGGGCTGGAGCCTTTCAAGTCTGTTTCCTACTGGAGCTCCCCGCGGGTTCCCTGTGAGGTCCAGCAGTGAGTGCACCTGCCCGCCAGCAGGGCTGGCCCCCGCTCCACACCACTTTCCCACTTTCCTTTTAGTGTGTCAGACAGAACTCTTCGTCCAGGACCCCCAGCAGCCTTAGCTGCTGCCTGAGCTCCTGTGCCTGGGCTGCTGAGAGTCAGGGAGGCCAGGCCCGGTGGGGTCAGGGAGGAGGAGGGCAGGGGCGGTGGATTTGAAAGGGACACGTTGACTCCTGTTCTACATTCATGGCCCCTGTGCTCAGGGCCTTCTTCTCTTGCCTGTGGTTGAACCAAGTGCCAGCGCCCTTCTGAGACCCCGGGCACTTCCCGCTCTGGTGCTGGCTGCCGGCAGCCAGGTCTCTGCAGACCCAACCCCCTCTGGGTCACCCCTCTCCCACGGTCCAGGCCTGGGCCTCTGGTGAAGAAAGACAAGTCCTGCTGAGCTTAAACATTACAAATGGTCTTTCTTTTGTCTTTCAGAAGGTACATGGATGTTGAGAAACTTCTACCAAGAAAGAAAAAAGTGAGTACTTTGACAAAGGCGCTGTGACATGGTCACAAATTCTGGTATCTCCTGGCACCGACCGGGACCCATGGCACGGTGCCCACACCAGGCTGACCCTAGAGGAGTCAGCCCCTCCCTGGGTCAGGAGGAGGAGGTCAGGTCTTGTCTGGGGCTCAGTGCTCTGGAAGGTTCATTGAGGTTTTTGTAATATAGCATGTTAAGTGGAGGTAAAACTCGGTATTGCTTAGGGGACATTTTTTCTGTAGCTTCTTGAGCTGAACACTGACTTAGTTTGGGGTTTTCTTTCTGAGGGATGTGTTGCAGCTACAAATGTTTGTGGAATAGGTGAGTTGGTCTGTTAGGTTCAGCAGAGCCCGAAGACCGGTGCGATTCTGCCTGCCTTGCGGGGCAGACAAGTGCATGCACCGGTTGAGTGATCAGAAGCTTCCATTGCTGGGCACTGGTGGTTCACACCTGTGATCTTAGCTACTCGGGAGCCTGAGATCAGAGGATCGTGGTTCGAAGACAGCCTGGGCTGGAAAGTCCATAAGACTCTTATCTCCAGTTAACCTCCCCATCCCTTCATGCACAGAAGTGGAAGTGGAGCTGTGGCTCAAGTGGTAGAGCATGAGCCATCAGCACAAAAGCTCAGGGATGGCACCCAGGCCTTGAGTTCAAGCCTCAGGATGGGCACACATACACACAGACACAGACATAGACACACACGTCTGTCTTTATGTGTTAGATGGGGAGCAGACCTAGCCCAGGTGACAATGTGTGACACGGAAGGAGGGCTGAGAGGCAGCCTGTGAATGCATGCCACCTCAGGGGTGGTGGTGTTCTGGAATCTTCTGCAAAGAATTCCACCTTTGGCATTGGGCTTGGAGCTGAATTCCGATTTGTGACTGTTATTTACCAGGATGGCACCACCCCCAGAGTTGCACGGTAGCTGTGGAAGCTTCTTCTCAGTCCCCTGGTGACAGAGTGCGCATGTGTATGGCCCGCTTGGCCCTTCCCCCCCTCCCCTCAGCATCCTCACCCATTCGCTTGCTCACCTTTGGTTCTCGGGGGGAGGGGCGTGGTTTTCCCGCTCATCGCCTGCGTGTTGCGTTGGGTCTAAAGTGTGAGGGGCCGTTGGTCCAATCGTATCCACATTCCTTTTCCTTCTCCTCTAGAAAAAGATCACAAAAAAGATACTGGGTCTTGATCATGATAGTTAACATCTACACACCTTTTAAGATTTGACCAGAGTCAAGGCTTCCTCGAAGCTGGATTTATCGTTAGTCACAGGAACGGTATTACAACGCAGTGATTTGTTTACCTGATAGCCTCTTCCAGATTTTCATTTCTGGCTTGTTAGCAATCTTCCATCTTTCTTCTGTGGGAACTGCCTCAGTATCTTTTGGGAAAGGGAGGTTAGGCAGGTGGGAACGGCCGTTAGTGGGGCTGGCCCTCCCTCTGTGCCAGGGGCCGACCGCGTCCTTGGCCCCTGTGACCTCTGAGGAGCTCACAAGGTCAAAGCATCAGCTGGGAATGGATGTAGATCTCCCACAGTGTCCCTGGTCTTTAAGAACCTACTTAGAATAAAAAAGCAGGGACTGGGCCCTTCGGTGGACATTTCACAGACGCAGTCTAGCATCTCAGCCCGTTGGTCCAGGAGGCTTGAATGGGGCCCGGGGAGGCGTCCTGCCGTGATCGGAGCATGGTGCTGCCGCTGGTGCCCAGGGCGAGCACCCTGCGTGCGCGGATGGAATGCAGACCTGTGGGACCACAGTGCTGCTCGCCCGCCTCTCCTCGGCCCACCCAGTCCCGCCTACAGGTTCCTGGTGACTGCCCAGCCCCAGCCCCCACTCTGCGGGCTTGTACTTGTAGTAGGGGTTCAAATGTAAGCCAGGGACAACACACACTAGTAGTCACTACCACAGAAGGAGTGAGATGCATGGATGGACCAAAACACAGGAGCAGACTTGATGGGAGCTCCTTCCTGAGCAACTGTCACGGTCCCAGCCGGGCGTTAGCTTTGGGAGGCACAGGGTGTGGTCGATTCTCCGCTGGTCTGGCCAGGGCGTGTCTTCAAGTGGATGCGTGGTGCGGCAGCCTGCCATCCCGCCGCAGGTTTGTTGAAGCCACTCCATTTACTTCCTCTTTACTCCAGGTTGGCTTAGTTTGGTTTCTGTGCATCTAACCGAGGCGTGTTTGAGGTTGCTTCTCTGTGTGTGAGCTTTAAGTAGTACATGACACGCTCTGAAAATGACTTTGCTGTGATTTGGCAGAGAGGCATTGGAGGAGGACATCTGTTGCCATTGGTGGAGCTTCTTCTTCAAGTCCATTCATTGGCAGGGACAGAGGGACAGCCAACACTTTTGTTGGCCCGAGGACGGGTGGTTGGAGCTGTCTCTTGTAGTAGCCGGCCTGGTCTAGCAGGCCGGGCCCAGCCCTACAGGTTGAGGCAGGGAGCATCGGCGCTGTTTCGCTCAGCTCTGGGGTTGGCTTCTCCTTGGATCCTTCCGAGGCTGCACTTGGCTGAGGTCTGCCGGGCTGGGAGGGCCACCGGCCTTCCAAGCACTTCTGTGGCTGGTGCTGCTTGGGGGGCTCCTTCCGCGGGGCCTTTCATCTTCCGGTGGAAGCCCAGAACTGGAACACAGAGAACTGGCTGTCCTGGTTGGAGGAGCTGCGCTCTTCACGCGGCAAGCCTCTGTGCAGCAGAGCGAGCGGGGCTTCCTGGGAAGCAGGAAGCCACCCTCCTCCTGGGGATTTCATTTCTCAGACTGGTGCAAAAGAATTGCTTGACCCCCTCCAGGTGGGAAGGTTCCAGATCCAATGTGCTGGTCTCGGGAATCAGTGGTTTGGAAAGTGATTCCAGAGATGATGGTGGAGGGTCCTTTCCCTACTGCGTGGAGAGTCAGGGCGTCTCTGTCTCAGCCCGTTCAGAGGTCAGCAGTGTGCTTCTGTTAAGCTCTGCTTTCCCTTTATGTACAAGTGGGGCTGGCGATCAACATCCGTGTTTCAACGGTTCCGAAAGCGTTTGAGTCGGTAGGGAAAAAGAGCTGGCAGGTAATAATGAGACGGCACTTTCTGGTGTAAATGTCAGCACTATTTCTTCATGCTCAGTGAATGCCTGTGTGCTCCGTGACGACGGTATCACAGTGTCCATCCAGCAAAGTGAGGAGTGAGGAGGAGGGGGAGGAGCTGGACCACAGGAATCATCTCCGTGACGCCACATGGGAGGGAAACGGGGAGAGTGACGCGTAGATCCCAGGGTCAGTAGGTGGTGGGGTCTGGAGCTGAGCTTGGGGCAACTGAGAAGGAAGAGGACCCTGGTGTGTGTGGGGGGGCGTTGCTCTAGATTTGTCCATTTGTCCATGGAGAGGGAGGAGAAGAGGGGAGGCCGTGTTTGTGCATCTGACTGCTTTGACACCCGCAGACCGCTTGGACAGAGCCAAGGGTGAGCCTGCGTCCACATTTGCCTGAGGTTGTCCCTGCCGATTCCTCCGTGGACAGAGGGCCGGCAGCTTCCTCTGGACCACGTGGATGTCCGTGAGGCGGGCCAGAGCGTGGCTGTGTGTTGCAGCTATTTTGCCTAGCAGTGAATGACTGTTACGTAAGGTGCATCAAGGGCTGGGTTTAGGACTAGAGCCTGTTGTTAGGATCCCAGTTGTGCCTGAAGTCTGAGCAGCCTGAGAGTCGCTTGCTTGTTAGGTCTCAGCTCATAGCGGCTGACCTGCTCCTCTCCTCTCTGATTTCTCCTGTGCTGGGCCTGAGTCACCAGCCTTGCGTTACAGCACGAGGCTCTTGTCTAAATACCACAGCCACGCTACTCAGTATTTACAAAATTTAAGAGTGCAGCCCTTTGCCACTTTCTTCTAGACTCCCATTGTAGAGCAGAATTTATTCAGTAGAAGAACCTTAAATCACATTTTTAGAAATTCCCGTTTCCCAAGAAAATGGCAAAAACTCCAGCATGCACTCTTAGCCATTACACAGCAAGAGAGTGCTTTGAAAATAGCCCCCATCATCTGATTGGTTCAGCTCAGATATTGCTTGACTCAAATATTCCTTCATTGGAGATACATCGAGGTGAGCCCGCAAACGTGTTACGTGGCACCATTAACCTGAGCTTTTTAGTCCAGTGAAAGTAATCAAAGGACCGGGCACAGTGGTGCATGCTTGTAATCTCAGCTACTTACCATGGTCTGAACCTGGCTGGACAAAACTGTGAGACCCCCAACTGAAAGAGAAGCCAAGAGCAAAGGACTGGTGCTGCGGTTCAGTTCAGAGCACTTGCCTGGCAAGCACGAGGTCCTGAGCTCAGCCCTGAGTCTGCTCTTACCTACCCAAGACCGAATGAATGAGTCCTGCTCCTACCTACCCAAGACCGAATGAATGAGTCCTGCTCCTATCTACCCAAGACCAAATGAAGCTACTCCTTAAAAAATATTATTGTGCCGGGCGCTGGTGGCTCACGCCTGTAATCCTAGCTACTCAGGAGGCTGAGATCTGAGGATCGCGGTTCAAAGCCAGCCCGGGCACATAAGACCGTGAGACTCCTATCTCCAATAACCACCAGAAAACCGGAAGTGGCGCTGTAGCTCAAATGGTAGAGTGCTTGCCTTGAGCTAAAGAGCTGAGGGACAGCACTCAGGCCCAGAGTTCAAGCCCCACGACCGACAAAAAAAAAAAAAAATTATTGTTAAGGCGTTGTCCAAAGAGGTTTGGGTGCAATGCATCTTGACCAGTGTCCCTCCCCCTCCCCACTTCCCTCTCCCACCTCTACCCTCAAGTTATGCAGTTCAATGTTTACATAATATACATCCAGTATAAGGGCGGCGTTTGCTCATCTTCCTCTCTCTGTTCCTGTGCCTCTCCTCACTGTCTCCCCAACCCCCAAATGGAAGGAAGGGACCCGTACCCATTTATTTTGATTTTAATGCTGTGATTTCCAAAGAAGTAGGTCTGGTGTAATGAATGCCTAAAATTACATTTGTACACTAAATGAGTACTTCACGGCACAGGCCTCT